CCTTTGGACACCACCGTACTTTAGTGTATGATCACAGTGGGGTTCAAGCTAGGGGATTAACGCTTGAAATTATTCCCTACATTTTTTGGCGACTCCACTGGGGAGGATTTCTATTTTAATTCCTGAATTTGTTTCGGCAATGATTTAGAATGAGTGGATGAGACTCGAAACGTTCTAAGTATTTCATGTGCGTAATTTTGATTAACATTATTGTCATATGCATAAAAAAGATCTCATTGGAAAGACCATCCATAATGAGTTAAAACATAGGATTTTACACGTAGGAAATTCGAGGAATATCTTTCACAACTAGGACCGAAATAACACTGCGTGAAACTGGAAAATTTTAACGAGCACAGAAAACTGCTGAGGCATGTAGGAATTAGCGCCAGAGGCCAGAGCATTGGCGCCAGAATTTTAACTGTAGCGCCAGACGCCAGCATTGGCGCCAGGCGCTACAGCTAAAACCTGGCGCCAAGCTCTGTTTGCTTGAAATTATTCCCTACACATCGCAAAATCCATTTTCCCTAAAATTATTGGCTCCAAATTCTGGAAAATTTAGGTAATTATCAAGGATTATTCAGTCGAAATTAAGTTAGGGTTTTTTAGGAGGTTTTAGGGGAATCTGGGTTGTGTTGTTGAGGAGTAAATTGAGTGAATTTGGAGAAGAATTTGATTCGAAGAGGTTGCAATTGTCAGCAAGGTTCGATCTTTGGGAGAATTATACCATTTGAGGTGCGATCCTAAGTCAGGCATGTATTTATTTCAATTTAATTTGTTGTATGCTCTGGTTTTGTAAATATGTAGGGTATTGGTGAATTAATAATACTATTGTTGTTTGATGTTGATTAATTTTGAAAAATTAATGTTATAGTGTGTATAGAGTTAATTATTGGGGTTGTATTGATAAAATTACTTGAATATTGTACTTGATATTCTAGGGCATTATGCTTATACATGTTTTTTATATTTGCTGCAGAATGGGTGATAATGTTGTCTTACAGTTTTAATATAGGGGTAAGGATGTGTCTGTTGTTGTTGAGGACATTAATAAGGCAAATTTAATTGATCTTATTATAGAGTACTGGGAGAAAGCAACTAAGGACAATTCGGAAACTCCAGAACACCCTACATTCTTATATGTGTTTAAACTGAAGCATTTTTTATTCTGATTTATGTAATATATTTTAATTTCGTAATATATCTGAACATGTTATAGGTTTCTTATGAACTTTGAGTTAGATATTTGAACATATGTTGGGTTAAGTAATTATGAACATTATATAGGTTATATATTTTAACATATAAGTTATATATTTGAACATTTGATACTTTCCTTATGAACATTTATTTTATTCTGATTTATGTAATATATTTTAATTTCGTAATATATCTGAACATGTTATATATTTCTTATGAAAATTTGAGTTAGATATTTGAACATATGTTGGGTGAAGTAATTATGAACATTATTGTTTTATATGTGAACATAAATTACAACGCTTATGTACAATTCTTTTTTTTTTAATTTAAAACAACCGCCCTGTATATAATCATTTTTTTTTTGGGGTGAAATATAATCATTAATTATAAAATAAACATGAGGACAATTTATATGAACATGAGCATACATAAAAGTAAATATTAATTAAAAATGAAAATGAAGAATGTAGAAAGTGTGTAGGCCATGTATTATATTAAAAATGAACACGAGGACAAAGAATGTGAACATTGATATTATAATTATGAACATAAAACATGGAGTGGCTAAAAGGTGCATATTATATTTTCATAATTTATGTTCGGTAGTATTTTAAATGAACATAAGGTTTTTTTTCCCCCCAAAGTGCATTGAATATAGGATTTTTTTTTGTAAATTACCACCCCAAAATGTACCCTGTATTGAAATAACCACCCATTTTTTTTTGAAATTAAAAATAACCACCCATATTTTACAAAAAATGTAGGTTTTACCACCCGACTTATACTCCGATCAATTTTTCGAGCATGGGCCCCACATAACGGCTGTTTTTTATTTTTATAAAAGTTGTTTCTCAATTTATTTCCTCCCTTGTTTCACAAACTACTCCCAAACTTAAGATCTTCATTTTTCCCACAAATTCTACCAATTTTTACTCCAAGTTTTGCAAATTGACAAGCGGATCCTTTGAAGAACGCACTTAAATTTTCTTACACCAATTTGTAAAGCAAGGTAATTGAAGATCGCACTTATTTTTTATTTTTTTTTATTTTTTAGTTATTTTGCAATGTTTTAATGAAGTAGAATTCAAGTTATACGATATTTTTTGTTTGGAATGTGTTTTATTAGGAATTTAATGATGCAATTGTTGTTTGATTCATTCAATTTATATAACTTGAATTGAAAATTAGGGTTCTTCATAATGAAATTGTGGGGCACGTGCTCGAAAAACTGGCCGGAGTATAGGTAGGGGTGGTAAAACCTACAGTTTTGTAAAATATGGGTGGTTATTTTTAATTTCAACAAAAATGGGTGGTTATTTCAACACATGTTAAATTTTAGGGTGGTAATTTACAAAAACCCTTGAATATATGAAGTATATATCTTGTGAATTTAAATTGTTCAATTGATTAAATAAACAAAATAATGTTGTTACTTTCATAAATTAAATATTCAACCATGTGAAATTGTGAACTCAAATTATTTAAAGCTTTTCAAAAATGAAACATGTAGCTTTTGTAAAATATGAACATACTTACCTTTTGTTATGAACATTTTGATAACAATATGAAGATAATGGATATGAAACGATTAACATGAGATTTGCTAATTTTATTGCACAAGCACAATCATCAAAATTGATCAAAAAATTCCTTAAAAAAACAAAAAAAAGGAAGCAAATCTCCATTTCTTTTAACAAAATACAAGAAAATTTATATTAAAGTGGAGAGAGAAAGTAGACTTTTCCCATTGTTGAAATTTTTTAGAGCTTCTAATAATTTAGAGAGGTAGAAAAGGGGAGTATCAAAACTACCAATGAGGGAAACAAAAAAAATAAAATAAAAAAGGAGGAGAGCGAATAATCAAAAATGATTGTTGAAAGTTTTAACTTGGTTTTTTAAAAAATTTAGAGGTAGAAAAAAGAGAATATCAAAATTCAATGATGAAAACAAAAAATATGAGAGAAATTAGATATTGGGGCATGGCCGGAGATGGATGTTCTTTGATTGCTAGCATGAAGAAAATAGAGAATATAAATCAAAGTAAGAGAGAAAAAATATGTTCAGTTTTCAATGGGGCAATTTTTATTTTTTTGAAAGTAAAAAATCTCTTAGTATGATGGTTGGAAGTGAGGATGAGGGAGTATAAATACGACTAGTGCATTGTTTGTAAGGTTATGTAGGCTGTTAATATGTTTGGGCGTGTTTTATGGGTGGATATAGCTTTAGGCTGCTATTTGGGCCTGGTGTACCTATTTCCAGGTGCACTATGGTGCATGTAATAATAATTGCTCCTCTTGGAATCAACTAGCAGGCTTAAACAAAGGTGCGTAGAAGACCCATCAAGGATGTCAACTATGCCCGGCCAGAAGATCAGATTGACAAAATTTTTGGTGCCTAGGAGACACCCAGGATATCACTCCGGTAACATTGCACAGTGGATGGAGCTTAAAATAGGAAAGACTCGGGACTACAATAAGCAGCTATAGGGTGGGTTAAGGAAGGCATAACCCTTGAACAGGAAGCCCAACCAGTCAACCACTACACTCAGAAGTGGAAGCAATTTTGACAGGAATAGCGAGAGCACAGAAGTATGCAGCAAGTGTGGAAGTGTGGACAGATAGTCCAGAGGCAATAGCAGCGATTAGAAACTTGGAGGATTAGACATGGGAACTCAGGAGTTAAGTCAGAAATAATAGATCTTATATTAGTAAGTTGTCATATTTTTGTACAAGTGAACTCCCTTGATTCACAGGTTACTTCTTCACATTACCTTGCTACCAATGCCAAAAGCCAAAAGTAACCAGTTACTAACCCGACTCGAGATTCAACCCGACCTGTTACAAACCCGACCCAAAATCAACCCAACTTGTTTGACCCAACCCAAATTCAACCCGACTTGTTATTAACTCGACCCGAATTTTACTAGAAATAATATGAACTTATAATGTATATATATATCTTATCTAAACTTATTACTTGAACTTATTAGCTCGAATTTAAACTTCTCTGAAATTATTTCTCTTACAATAAATGAAGAAATTGATAATGATTAAACGTGAATGTCATTACATGAACCGTTAACAAACCAACCTAAAAAATGTAACTGAACCCGATATGACCCGACCTGATAATCCGATATCAACCTTAAACCCACATTAACCTAATATTTTGATGCCCGAATCCAAACATGACCCGACTTCGAAATGACTGGACTTTTATTAACCCGCAAATTATTCTGAGAATGACAACACTTGAAAAGGATCGACCTGATTATAACCCGAAGATTATTGACTTGAACCCAACCCGAGAATGACTCGACTTGTAAATGACCCGTCCTGATTATAACCCGCAAATAATTGACCTGAACTGAACCCAACTTGAATCCGAGAATAACCCCACTTGGAAATGACCCAACCAAATTATGACCCGCAAATTACTGACTTGAACCGAACACAACTCAAACCTGAGAATGACCCGACCTGATTCTAACCCGCAAATTATTGACTTGAACCAAACCCGACTCGAACCCGAGAATGACCCTAACCCGTTTTAACCCGTGAAAACCAGAATTACGCCCGACCTATTATTCACCCGACCCGAATGTAACCCGACTTGTTATTAACCCAACCTAAACCCGACCCAAACCCGATAAGATGTTAGACCCGACGTGACTAGACTCAAGCATGACCCAACCCGAACCCGACCCACATAGGTTATAGCATTTACCCAAATGGACCCGACCCGATTTGACCCGACCCATTCTTACCTGACCCGTTTAACCGAATTGACAGCTCTACTGAAAATAATAAAACATAGTTGAAATTTTACTCATAGTAGTAAAGGGAGTTCTTCCCATAATTATAATCAGGCTTCTGTGTTCTGTCTAACTAGTCAAGGAGAACAAACACAAAGCTACCTTCATCCTTTGCAAATACTTTCGCTAAATTACCAAAATTTCAGCAACACCAGATCAAATAACATGATCAGCCCTTCCTCTTATTTACGGTACTCCGTCTCTCCACCTCTTTTTCAGCAACTGCAACACAAAACTCTGCCCCAAGCATGTCGTGAATGTCAAGATTCAATGAGGTACTCAAATCACACAACTCCAGTATAACTTCAACAGTTATATTGAAACCCAAAACGGCTAAGACCCGGACAGCATTCGCAATCCTGCATATGTTCTGCCGTGTTTCCAAGGGAGTGTAATTTTCTTCAAGATTCATTTCGCCAATGGAATTTGCATGGGTTTTCTCAGATTCATTCGCATCATCCACTTCCATACTGTCTTTTGCTAAAATGAGTTCACCAACCCAGACATAACCATTACAACCAAGTATTAAGAGAACACCATATTGATCTAACTGGTGGAAGTGCTGCTTGCGTCTTTTCACCAAATAGGAAGGAACGGTGATCAGTTGACCCCTCTCAAGCTGCAAGATTAAGCATCAAGTAATGAAAACGAAGTAAAAAAAGAACTTGCTGGTACTATTCCTAAAATTTAGGGTCCCATTAATTACAAAATAAAGTGTAACATGCTCTTGTCTCATTCTATGTTGAAGCAATTACAAATGAACATGAAAGAAACATTAACAACTACATACTTAATCCTTCTATGCAGAATAGTATTCTAGTCATGGTGATTTCAAGGACGGGCGAAGGCCCAAGTGGAAGATAGGATGTTTCCAGTTTTCCACAAAAACAAAGGGAAAGAAAAAAAGCAAGAAGTGAAAAATGATGCCACAGATTTCCATAACTGCTTCCCACAAGTCCCTTTATTACTCTCCCTTCCCTGGAAAATGACTTTATTTATACCCAAATTCCCTTAACAATAAACTAGCAATGTTAAGGATGATTTAAGAATAAAAAGCTTGAAACCATACCTTCCCATACTTATCACTCCTTGCATGTAGCTGCCAAGTACCATCGTGTTGACTGTTACGAACCTCAGCCTGTGCGGAAGGCACATTTATCAAAAAAAATCAGAAATTTGATTATTTGAAGTTGTCATTCACCAAAGAATTTAACAGTTGAAAAAACCAACTAAACTTACAGAAATAACATCATTCTCTACAAAAATATTACGCATGTTGAGTTCATCAACCGCTGTACGCCGCCTCTAGCAATGACAACAAACTGAAGATTAATTTTTACCATGCTGATCTCAGAAAGCCAAACACATACATAGATGAGCACATCATCTGTCAAACAAAATCGACAGCATTGACTACTCAACTATGATTACGATTCCAAAGACCCATTCATGAATATGCATGTTGCTAATAATATTTCTTCATTATTTATTCAAAGCTGAAAACAAAAATTCTTATCAACATATAGGAAAGCAAGAGACAAAATAGATTATTAATTACAACTTTACAAGATGGCCTAATAAAGTAATAAGTAATAGGCTTTCCAAGTCCTAGAAGCATCTTATAGAGACTCCCCTGTGGCAGGCTTAAGTATAACCAAAGACCAGATGAGAGAATAAGCAAATATGATACTCAAGAAGTTGGAGATCAACCTTGCAAGAAGAATCTAAACATCTTAAAAATGCATCTAATATCTGCTAGGAATTCAGCTAAAACAGAGTATGAAAGGGAAAATGCAGAAAATGTGACCCAAAACTGATATTTGTATTGTAGATCAGTATAATCTAGCAATACAATCTCTCTTCATTCGAGAGGAAGAGATTCTCTCCAAGTTTGTTCATTTTCATGACCCCTTCTACAAGCCAAATTACTTATTAAATACAATTAGCCGTAACAAACTAACTGCCTTAGAGAATAACAAACTAGGATAGGAATTACTAAGCTGCCCTTAAGGCTAACAAACTTGTAACAGAAATTCCAGCTCATTCTTCCAGCTCATTCTTCCAGCCCATTCTTCCAGCACCTTCAGCGGTTAGATGCAGCTGATTTAGTCTTCCTTCGGGCATAGGTAATCTGTATAGCAGGCTTGGGCTTATCATTGGGCTGATGCCTTGCAATACCCCCTTCCCAAAGATTCACCTTGTCCTCAAGGTGGAAATGAGGAAACCTGCAGTCAAGGTCAGTGAAGTCCTCCCAAGTGGCTTCCCAATCTGGCAGCCCCTTCCATTGAACCAGGACCTCTGTGGCAGCCTGAGTAGTCCTCACCCCAAGAATTGCTTCTGGCTCTGTGTCAAGCACCAAGTCAGAAGTGAGCTGGACAGGTAAGGGAGAGGCCTGCTGCCCTGCTCCTATGGCTTGCTTGAGCTGAGAAATGTGGAAAACGGGATGAATTCGAGCTGTAGCAGGAAGGTCAAGCTTGTATGCCACCTCTCCAATTCTCTGGATCACAGGATATGGGCCATAGTAGCGCGGAGAAAGTTTCTCATTCTTTCTTTTAGCCAAGGACTGCTGTCTATACGGTCTGAGCTTCACATAGACCAAATCCCCAACCTGAAAGGAACCATCCCTTCTGCCCTTATTCTCATACTGCCGCATATAAATCTGAGCCTTGACTAGATGGAACTTAAGGTCATCTAAAATAGCATCCCTCTCCGATAATTGATCTTCCAAAGAAGAGACATGAGTGCTACCAGGTGTGAAACGCAACAAATTAGGAGGATCCCTCCCATACACAGCCTTGAACGGAGAGCATTTGGTGGCACTGTGAAAAGCGGTGTTATAGCAATATTCTGCCCATGGTAGCCAAGTAGCCCAAGTCTTAGGTTTGCCATTAATAAAGCAACGCAAGTAGGACTCCACGCCCTTGTTCACAACCTCAGTTTGGCCATCGGACTCAGGATGATAAGAGGTGCTCCTTTTCAGCTGAGTGCCTTGAAGCCTAAATAGTTCCGACCAGAAAATACTCAAAAAAACCTTGTCCCGATCAGAGACAATAGAAGATGGGGTTCCATGAAGACGAATTATCTCCTTAGAGAAATTGTGAGCCACGGTTTGTGCAGTAAATGGATGTTTTAAAGGAATGAAATGCCCATACTTAGACAACCTGTCAACCACCACGAGGATTGAATCCCAACCCAAGGATTTGGGCAATCCCTCGATGAAGTCCATGGAGACGTCCTCCCAGATCTTGTCCGGAATTGGCAAAGGCTGAAGCAACCCGAGAGGAGAGAGAGTCGAAGTTTTATTTTGTTGACAAACATAATCAGAGACATCCTTCCTCATGCCTTCCCAATACCATTCCCCGGCCATTCTCTGATAAGTCTTAAGGTCACCAGCATGACCCCCAACAGGAGAGTCATGAAATTCCTTGAGAAACAGTGAGATGAGCTCAGAATTCTTTGGAAGCACCACTCTTCCCTTATACTTCAGAATACCATTCTCTAATGTGAACCATTTAGGAACAGCCTCCCCATTTTGTAACTGAGAGATCAATTTTTGCAAGACTTGATCCCTGGTAATAAACCCATGAATGACCTCCCAGCTCAAGCCACAAGTAGTGATTACAGCCGAAAGTTCTGGTGAGAATTGGCGCGATAAAGCATCAGCTACCTTGTTGCAAGGTCCGGGTTTGTAGTGGATTTCAAAAGAGTAACCCAGCAGCTTACTCACCCATTTTTGATATGCTTGCCCCACTTCTCTTTGTTTCAACAAAAACTTCAAACTTTTCTGGTCGGTTCTTACCACAAATTGTCTTCCTAGAAGATAATGTCTCCATTTCTCGATGGCAAACACGATTGCCATAAGTTCTCTTTCATAGATGGGCTTCATCCTAGCACGCATACCCAAAATTTTGCTAAAGTACGCAATTGGGTGAACACCTTGAAGCAACACAGCACCTAAACCATGTCCTGATGCGTCTGTCTCTACAATAAAAGGCTGAGAGAAGTCAGGCATAGCCAAGATCGGGGCCTGGGTCATGGCTGCCTTTAATGCCTCAAACGCCTTAGTGGCCTCCCCTGTCCAACCCAACAATCCTTACGAAGCTGGTCAGTTAAAGGGCTAGCAAACAAAGCATAGTTCTGAATGAACTTCCTATAATACCCCGTAAGCCCCAAAAAACCCCGGAGCTCCTTGAGACTTTGGGGAACAGGCCACTCTAACATAGCATGAACCTTAGATGCATCAACCTCTACCCCATCTGCCGAGATGACATGACCTAGATAGGCCACCTTAGCCTTCCCAAATTCACACTTTAAGGTTAGCATAGAGGTGATGTGTAGTCAAGGTGGACAAGACTTGCTGCAAATGCCCTTGGTGCTCTGCCATAGACTTGCTGTAAACAAGTATATCGTCAAAGAAAACCAAGACGAATTTCCTGAGAAATGGTCTGAACACGTCATTCATTAATGACTGGAAGGTGGCAGGAGCGTTGGTGAGGCCGAAAGGCATCACCAAAAATTCATAATGACCCTCGTGGGTCCGAAAAGCGGTCTTATGAACATCCGATTCCTTAACGCGAATCTGATGATACCCAGATTTAAGGTCCAATTTAGTGAACACAGTAGCACCAAATAATTCATCCAACAGTTCATCTATTACGGGAATGGGAAATTTATCAGGGATAGTCTCCTTATTCAAAGCACGATAGTCAACGCAGAAACGCCATGATCCGTCCCTTTTTTTGACTAAAAGAACAGGACTAGAAAAAGCACTAATAGAGGGCTGAATTATACCTGCAGCAAGCATATCTTTCACCAATTTTTCGATTTCATCCTTCTGGTATTGCGGGTATCTATAAGGGCGAACAGAGATTGGGTTTGCTCCACTCTTCAGGATGATAGAATGATCCACTGATCGTTGAGGAGGTAGCCCAATGGGCATATGAAATACCCCATGAAACTGAGTCAGCAGGGGCTTGAGAGCTTCAGGAAAATGTGGTTCCTCCTCCCCCGAACTCTCCAAGTAATTAAACTCCAACAACACACCATGTCCAGCCTTCTGTATAGTTTTCACCATCGCTTTTAGAGTGATGCAGGAGCGCCCTAGCTGAGGATCTCCCCTTAAGGTGACTGACTCTCCACCCGCCTGAAAACGCAACGTCTGAGTTTTCCAATCGGAGGAAATAGTCCCTAATTTTTCAAGCCATTGAACCCCTAAAATTACATCAGAATTTCCCAAAGGAAGAACAAGGAAATCCTCCTTGATTATGAGTCCTTGCAGCTCCAGCAACACCCCAACGCAAACCCCTTCTCCTTGTACAGCTGCCCTGTCCCCAACGTGACACCAAAACTCCTAGATTCAGTAATGGGTAACTGCAAATGGTTTGTCGCCGCCGTTGAAATGAAATTATGAGTCGCACCAGGGTCTACCATCACAACAACCTTGCCGCCATTGATTTCACCTTCCAGGCGCATAGTTTTTGGGCTGGTAATACCCATTACCGAGCAAAGAGAAACGCCCGGATTAACCACAAGTGGTGGTGAGAGTGGCGGAGGTGCAGGTGTATCAATTTCAGCGGCAGCGAGTTCACCAGAATCGCCTTCCTCCTCGTCGCTGTCATCCACCATGAGCAGCACGCTCAGTTCGCGGCGGCGACATCGATGATTTAGATTCCATTTCTCATCACAACGGAAGCATAATCCCAACTCCCTTTTCTGTTGGACCTCCTTTTCCGTCAACCGCCTTATATCGCCGGTTGTTTTGGACAATGGGGTGGTGGTGCGATTTTGGGTAAGGTGGGTGCTAGTGTTTAGGTTTGGGTTTGTGTTTTGATTCGGGTTATTTGGGTAGGTAGTTTGTGGGTTGGATCTTTAGGTCGGGTTTGGGGTTCTCCAACTGGGTAGGCTGGAATTGGGCCTTGGTTTTGGGCTGAGCTTTAATTTTTCATCACTCCTCATGGATAGCTCCATTGCTTGATCCAGAGTAACCGGATCTAAGATCCGAACCTCAACCCGTATATCCTCTCTCAAGCCATTGATATATTGTCCCTTCGCAATCTCCTCGGGCACTCCATCAATCGGAGCCAATAACTCGATGAATCGGCGTCTGTAGTCGGCCACCGAGCCGGTCTGCTCGTGGGCAAGCCACTGTTCGTGGAGCGTGCCCGTGGCGGTGGTGCGAAACCGACGGAGCAGAAGCTTCTTCAAATCTTCCCAAGTGAGTAACGGGTGGCGTCTGTGTTCCCACTGGTACCATAGCAGGGCGTCGCCGTCGAGCGCCACCACCGCGGCCTCCAGCTAATCCTGGCCGATAATCGGTAAAAATGGAGAATCCATCCATCTGGGTTTCCTCAGCTTCCAATTCGAATGTCCACCATCACCACTCTCCAAACGTGGTTGCGAACCAGCGAAAGGGTTGTCCCACTGATATGGTGGTCCATTTCCCAAGGGAGAGCGATTGTCCGACCGATCCTTCTCTGCTCCAACAGCAAACTAAACTGGGCAGTAAGGTCGGATTTGAGCGTTGCCAGAGCTTCAGTGATCTCCTGGGCCACGCGGCCAGGGACTCCGGCAATCTCCTGCTCCAGTAAATCCAAACGCTACGCATGAGTCAAGCGAGCCATCTTCTTCTCCGGCGAGAATCGAAACAGCTCTGATACCAAATTTGCTAGGAATTCAGCTAAAACAGAGTATGAAAGTAAGGGAAAATGCAGAAAATATGACCCAAAACTGATATTTGTATTGTAGATCAGTATAATCTAGCAATACAACCTCTCTTCATTCGAGAGGAAGAAATTCTCTCCAAGTTTGTTCATTCACTAATAATTTTCATGACCCCTTCTACAAGCCAAATTACTTATTAAATACAATTAGCCATAACAAACTAACTGCCTTAGAGAATAACAAACTAGGATAGGAATTACTAAGTTGCCCTTAAGGCTAACAAACTTGTAACAGAAATTCCAGCTCATTCTTCCAGCACCTTCAGCGGTTAGATGCAGCTGATTTAGTCTTCCTTCGGGCATAGGTAATCTGTATAGCAGGCTTGGGCTTATCATTGGGCTGATGCCTTGCAATATCATCCATCTCAACATCAGTGACATTTAGAATGTTGGCCAAGGGGCCATTCACCCTCTCCTTAATTATTGTTTTGTTCTTTTCTTTTCAGTGTGTGTGTGAGTGTAAATGTTCAAGTCGCGACAATTTGTCAATCCCAAGGATAAGGTGCATCATACACCAACAAGTCCCTGCTTTAGGTGGAAGGTTTACATATCATGGTGGCCGTAACATTGATATTATACATAATTGTTTATTTCCCTTCATCTCCCTAACATACTACTGAAGGTTAACATACTTGGAAACAGGTTAGCTAGCATTATCATTCTTCTTTACCATCTCTTTCAAATAATCACATCCTATCCATGCACAAAACATTTATTATTTACAATTTGATCACTAATGTCTAAGTGCATGGTCGAAAAGGTGCTCTGGTGAGTGAAAGCAGAGAGAGACACATTAAAATAAGTCTGCAGCTGCAGCGGGTGGTGAGGGAAGCTGGTGGGCAAGCAAGGATAATAGGAAGAAAATGATGACTAGACAATAGACACTAGGAGAAACAGTGGTGTGTACAGGGTAGGCAAGGAAGATACTCTGTAGTATCTTGTGACTTTTGTGTTTTGTCAACCACTTAACCCAAACAACATATTATAACAAAAGCATTTACAATCTTTTCCTTCCCTATCTCTTTCTTAATTCCTTTCCCTATCTCTTTCTTGATTCCTTCCCCTTTCCCTGAGTGTACTCGATGAGAAGGGTTAGATGGAGTAATACATATCAACCCCTTAGTAGTTACTAGAACATAGTAATCCAATAAACACATTAAAAGTTTAATAACTACAGTAAGGTAAAGTCAAACTTGTCTGTATTTAAAAGTACCTAAATGCAGGCAAACAATTTAGAGGGTAGAGCAAGGAAAACCAGCTCATCTTGCCAGTCCTAACCTGGTGCTGCACATGTTAGAATTTGAGTTTCTAGGTTTGTTCCCAAGAATTTAAAGATTAGAACATCACAAATCAGTACCGGATGTCGTGATGCATGGTTTGGTGTTGGATATGAGAATTTATTAAACTTTTTCACAAATAAATCAGAAAGCTCACTGACTGTTGAGCAAAATGATGAGAGTACACTTCAGAGAAAAACAAATAGATTTAATCTTGGTACCATTCAGATACAAAGTATATAGATATATCAAACGGATAAGTCCAATCTATTAATCTAATGCCTAAGGATTTGGACTCTTAAAAGTTAATGGAACTAAAATGATTGATAAGTAAAAATCACCATCCTAGAAGCAGCAAAATTTTCAGCTCAAGATTGACTATAAGTTCATAACAGAGTGTCATATACTTCAGTAAAAGGTGCAGAATAAAAGAAATTTCAAGTAACAATGCAAAGCATATCGAGACAGAGAGGACAAACAAATATTCTAACAGCAGTTAAGACCAACATATACCTGGATACCATCAGGTAAAGTCACTGAAGAAAGCATAAGAACAGCATCTTGGTTCGAATGGATCTCAACTCTCCACCGCTTTTGAGCAACCTGATAAAAAAATTTCAAATTTAGCTAACACTTCATATATATCAAAACTTCGAAACAATTTAATGAGCAGATATCAAATAGACAAACATGAAATAGTCAAAAACGAACTAAACAACATATAAATCACAAGCCATCCAATTCTACTACAAAACATCATATCCCCTCTTTTCACAGAAATTGTTAGATTTTCTCAATAACCACTTTCTAAAAATCAATTTTTATAATTTTTGCCTACTGATATTTTTCATGTTGGCAAACGCACCTAAAGAAATGTGTCAACTCAAATGAAACAGACCAAATACCACATACGTAGTATAAGTTATACTCCATAGCATTTAAGTTTAATTCATAGCACTAAGCTAGCAAAATACAGCAATTACAAATTAGTTCAACAACTATATGTTCTTTTGATCATACACTTAGCAGGTAATTAAAACTGACTACATATCATCAAATTCTCATGTATATACCTCAACAACTCGTCCAACAATGATATCTCCAGTATCAGGCTTATACCTACATAAATCAATTCATCAAAAAAAATTCAAAACAATTTTTCAAGCATAAAATCAGCAGAATTTCTCAAACTTGTATCAACGAACCTGGATCGCAAAGAACGAACAATAACAAGTTTATCAACTCGGTCGACAACACCACACACAGTTGCAACCACTTCGCCGTCAAGCTCCAATGTTCCATGTCCCCTTCAAAACAAAAACAGCGACTATTAGACATTTTCTACTCACACTGTATATCAAATCGTTGCAAATAATATGAAACGGATGTAGTGTATAAAAATTAGGGATTCGAGAAAAGAATACTTGAGGATATTGTCTTCATTGTTGACAGGAATAGTGTCGGCGACGGTGACGGAAGCATTGGCAGCAGATTTGGAGGAGAGAGATTGGAGTTTTTCTAGGGCTCTTTGAAGTCGAATCTTTTGGGTTTGATTCAACGACAATTCTATTTCTCTCATTTTCTTCTTCGGTTATTGTTGTTATGAGAGTAGCTCTTTCTTTGGAGCTTGTTTGATTCTTTCTTTGAATTTGGTGAATTGCTTAAACCCTGTATGAGATTTTGCAGTTTTTAAATGAGAAAACTAGCGATATTCAGCATTTTATTTGGAGTACTGTTTCCGCTTCATTCTAAAACTCATTTAAGCAATAACAAAAAATTCAGCAATTCGAATATACAATCAAATACACACAATTTCAGTTTTTTTTTTTTTTTTTTAATGAAAAAGGGAGATTAAATTAACTTAGATAAAAATCCAAATACAGCCAAAGTTTTCAATGAAGCAAAAGAGGCAGCAGACTATACCACTCACCCAGAAGTCCCAAAAGCAAAACCAAATTGTTAAAAAATTTCCACCTCAAACAAAGACAAATTAGCAATTAACAAAACATAAAGACAAGAAACTACAATCAAATACAAATCAAATCTGAATCAAATGACCAACTAATCAAGACTAAAAAAATACAAAGTAGAATATTACCAAAAAGTTAAATTCAATTCAACTTTTCAACACCACAATGAACAACCTGTCAAGAACTCAAGACTATGAAATTATAATTCATAGATGACTGAAATTATAATTAATTAAGTAATTAACACAATAATGAACAACAAATCAACAATTCAGTTCAATTTAATCCATCAAATAAGAAATAACTGAAATTATACATAATTAAAATTAAAACAAAATAACAAATTAAATAGTTCATACCTTTACTTCAGTGCTTCAGTCGGTGGTCGCCTAGATGTAAGGGCGGTGGCGCCGTGGCGGCAGGCTTGCAGACAGCAGAACAAAGGCCTTGTCGCCTTGAAGGAGTGAAGCGGTGGTCTGACGAAGTGGTGCGCACGTACGAACGGTACGGTGGGCAGGGCTGGTGGCTGGTGGCTGGTCCGGCACTCCAGCGTCGGCGGTCGGCTGGTTGATGTGACAGAGGGAGTTAGGGTTGTGAGTTGTGAGTTGTGAGTATGTGATGTTTGAGGTTCGCTAATTCCCTGAATTACGCATTCACGGCTTTCACGGGCTTTTTCTTTTTCTTTTTTCATAAAAAATTAAACTTTTTTTTTTCCTGTCACGCATTCATAAAAATTTTAAATTGCACCATCGGCCAATTTTTTTTTTTTTTTAAACTAGGTCCGCCAAGGCGCCAATTATTTATTCATTATTTGTTTATTTATATAATAGTTTGGAAAATTTACAAGTTGCAGCCATTTAAAATTCGTATTTTGCAAATTACAGCTATTTGAAAAATAAATTGCAAATTGCAGCCCAAAAGTTCGTATTAATTGTAAATTGCAGCCCAAAAGTTCGTATAAATTGTAAATTGCAGCCTGATTCAACTTTTTTATCGGTTTACAAGTCGAAAAATCTCCGATTAAGGTTCTAGGGCCATTTTAGCTCATAGGAGCCCGAATTGAGCTCGGAAATAGCAAAAAAATTACTCCCTCTATTTTTTTTATATGCATCACTTGGTGATGCGCGGAGTTTTAGAAGGGTAATATAGTATTGTTTGTGGATGAATAATTTATTATAGTATAAGTATGATGGGGACCATGAAAGAGAAAGAATGTGAGGGAGAGTAGATATTTTTATTATATAAGTGGGTACCATAGAGGAGAGAGAAATGATAAAATAATTTAAGTGAGGTTTAAAGTAAGAGAGAGAAATAATAAAATATAGTATAAAGTTTCCAAATAAGGAAGTGATGCATTTAAAAAAAACACCCATAAAAGGAAAGTGATGCATATAAAAAAACGGAGGGAGTAACGCAAGTGCCCCGTTTTATGTAATAAAAATGTATTGATCTGAGGGAAACTATAAATATGAGACACTTACGTTATTTTTTTGCTAATTCCGAGCTTAATTCGGGCCCTTAAGAGTTAAAACGACCCCTAAAACCTTAACTGGAGATTTTTCGACATGTAAACCGATGAAAAAGTTGAATCGGGTTGCAATTTACAATTTATACGAACTTTTGGGCTGCAATTTGCAACAAAAAAAAATTAAATGGCTACAATTTGCAAAATACGAAATTTAAATGGCTGCAATATACAAATTTTCCTAATAGTTTTTCATTTAACCTTTAAATAATCTATTTAAGGAGCAATCATCAATCAATACTATATACTAAAAAGCACACCAACAATGACACGTGTTATTTTTTGGTGTGTTCCTTGTCTTCAAAAAAAAATCCATATAAAAAACAAATATTATACATAATAAAAAATTTGATGTATTTTTATATTTATTGCCAACTATAAACTTAGGTATAAAACAAAATAATATATTATTTACCTAAATAAAATATTTGATGTATGCATGTATCCCTCCACAATATAGTATAGACAAATGCATATTCTAAAATATCTGTTTGGCAAATAGGCTATTTTATATCCATTATAATTTACTTACACATGTAAATTTACTTATAAAAAGTTAATTTAAAATTAATTATTAAAAAATTTCGTGCATGGCATGGGGTCTAACCTAGTTAATTATATAAACACTAGTTTTTGGCCCTGGGCAATGCCCCTGGTCATTATATTTATATTATAAATGAGATTTTATAATAAATTAAGTGATAAAATACAAATATAGATTAAATTAGTTACATTTGATGTAAATAAAGAAGTAGGGTCTGTTCTCTTCCATTGAAATTCAGTTCAGTTCAGTTCAGTTCAGCTCAGTTCAGTTCAATTCAGCTCTTAATTTACGTCTAATGATATTGCTAATGATATAAAGTCAAATTTACAACAACAACAACAACAACAACAACAACAATAATAATAATAACAATAATAATAATAATAATAATAATAATAATAATAATAATAATAATCAATAAGTAATAAATAATAATAATAATAATAATCATCAATAAATAATAATAATAATAATAATAATAATAACAACAACAACAACAACAATAATAATTGAAATAATAATACTAATAATAATAATCAATAAATAATAATAATAATAATCATCAACAAATAATAATAATAATAATAATAATAATAATAATAATAATAATAATCAATAAATAATAATAATAATAATAATAATAATAATAATAATCAATAATCAATAATTAATAATAACAATAATAATAATAATAATAATAATATTATTATTATTAATATGTACATTTGTATATACACATATGTATAGTAATAAATAATCAATAAATAGTCAAAGATCACTAATCCGTAGTTAAAAATCACTAATTAATAAGTTCAGTTCAGTTCAGTTCAGTTTAGTTCACTTCAGTTCAGTTCAGTTCAGTTCAGTTCAGTTCAGCTGAGTTCAGTCAATCGGAACAGACCCGTAGTCTAGTACAAACAGTATAAAAATATTTAAATAATCTCACAAGCAATGGCACAATATCGGCGCATCGTGATGAAAATCACTGACTTGAAAACGAATTTTCGGCGCAATTAATATGCTCAATTGTATTCGTTTGCACGAACCCTAAGGTTAACACACCACTTCCACTCAAAGACACTTTGGGTGGAAGGTTTGAGTCAAATAACTCCCAATATAGAATGTGTGTTAGGGCCTGTTCTCTTCCGTTGAAATTCAGTTCAGTACAGTTCAATTCAGTTCATCTCTTAATTTACGTCTAATGATATTGCTAATGATATAAAGCCAAATTTCATTCTTTTAAGCTCTTATTACAACGACGACGACGACGACGACAACAACAACAACAACAACAACAACAACAACAACAACAACAACAACAACAACAACAACAACAACAACAACAACAACAACAACAACAACAACAACAATAATAATAATAATAATAACAATAATAATTGAAATAATAATACTAATAATAATAATCAATAAATAATAATAATAATCATCAATAAATAATAATAATAATAATAATAATCAATAAATAATAATAATAATAATAAATAAATAATAATAATAATAATCAATAAATAATAATAATAATAATAATAATCAATAATTAATAATAATAATAATATTATTATTATTATTAATATGTACATTTGTATATACACATATGTATAGTAATAAATAATTAATAAATAATTAAAGATCACTAATCCGTAGTTAAAAATCACTAATTAATAAGTTCAGTTCAGTTTAGTTCAGTTCAGTTTAGTTCAGTCAATCGGAACAGGCCCTTAGACTATTGTGCTTGATGTATTTTTCAAGTGTAAAAATCAGGGGAAAAAAAAGGCTTCTTCTGTTTATAGAGAAAACTGAAATAACATAGAAGAAGAATCTCAAGCATAAAGGAGGTGAATAATCACCTTAAATATATTAGAGGGTGGTGATTAATCACCTTAAACATCCTCTTAAATTAAAGGTTATAAGAATTACTCAAGAAATGACATGGCACCACATCATCTGCCTAGTCATGATGACATGTGGCGGGTTCATGTCTTCCTATTGAGTTTTAATATAATGATGACATGTGGCGGGTTCATGTCTTCCTAAAATTTGTTATATAATTTAGATAAAATTCATGATATCAAAAGATAATATTTTATATTTAATTTATTTAAACTGGAAAATCTCATTGGCCAATTTTGCTTACGTATCATTTAAATTATTTAATTCTAAAAGAAATTAATAATCTCGTATTTAATTGGCTAACACTAAAATGTATTATCCTACATGGCGCGCTGAAAAAATTAAATCCTACTTGGCTCTCTAAAAATCGGGAAAAAACTCCCCTTTATTATATATATGTGTGTGTGTGCTAAAATTTGTTAAATATTTGGATAAAATTCCTAATATCAAAAGATATTATTTTATATTTAATTAATTTAAACTGAAAAATCTCATTCGTCAATTTTACTTACGTGTCATTTAAATTATTTAGTTCTAAGAGAAATTAATAATCTCGTATTTAATTGGCTATATATATATACTCTTGTATTGTCATTGTAGAGTGAGAATGAGACGAAGGGAAAGATGTAGAGATAGAGAGAGCCTCATGTAAACCCAAACACTTAGGGTTTGAGTGTTTGAGAGGGTGAGCTTGGGGTGGGAGCTTTAATGGTGATTGAAGCTTGTAATCTACATGTTTTTCATCAAATTGTTACTCCATAGTGGATTGGTGAGTTTTTCTCCCAGTTCTCGGGTTTCCCACGGTAAATTCTCCTTGTCTCGTTTATTGCTTGTTTTTCTGTCTTCGTTGTTGTTAATTGTCGTTAATCGCAAACTTAGCTAGCACATTCGTAATCCCTTTCAATTGGATATATATATATATATATATATATATATATATATATATATATATTAGATTGTACTCTGTAAAGCCTCCAAAAAAAAAAGGAAAAATGGAAAAGAAAAATCCAACCTTTGAGCGGTCTGACATTAAAAATCCAACTTTTCATTAATCTCACAAAAATCCAACCTTTATACCCCACCTTCACCAACAGATCCATTTAACCTTTAACTGGTTAAACATGTTAAATTTTTTTTATTTTTTTTAATTCTCTCACTTTCACTTCTCACTCCTCCTCTTTCTCTCTCCTCTCTCCTCTCTCCTCAAAAACTGATTCAGAGTTGCCCTGTAGGGAATAAATTCAAGCGTTAATCCCCTAGCTTGAACCCCACTGTGATCATACTATACACTAAAGTACGGTGGCGTCCAAAAGGGAAGAAGATAGAGCAAAAGAGTCGCCAACAAGTTTTAGGAACTTGTAAACCGTTCACAGGGTGAAGGTTACACCCCTTAACGATCCAAGAGATCGTCAACTCCATAAGGTCTAGAACCAAATAAGGGTTCGGGGATGAAGGTACAAATCCAACCTAAAACAGATTGAACCTGCCCTAATAATAGGCCTCTACTTTATTCTGATCGTATTCATGTGCGCTTTCTAATTAACATGCAATCAATAGGATTAACCCTAAACTTGTTTAATCTATGTTGGTTGAATTTTAATGCACAAATAAATCTATTATTGGCGATCACTTGAAATTATAATCAAATTAACCTAACAAGATTATTAATTATCTTATTAAGCGTGATTACAAGTACCAATTCCCTTTAAACATGCATAAAAGGCGTGATCAAGCAATAACAATAAATATAATCAAGCAACACAATAATGATCAAAATAAATATCATCATTATAAAAATAAATTATAATTGAAATAATCATGATAATAATCATAAATAAAATAATCATCATATTAATAATAATTAAAATAATTATCAT